AATCTTAAGAAAAAAGTAGAAATTCCTTAGCCTAGTATTTAATGCTCTATCAAACCTGGCCCTAGGATAGATACACCAATACATATTATTCCAACTACAGACAAACTGAACAATCCTGAAAACATCTTGTGCATTCCTCATTCTTTTCAGACTGAATTCTGTCCCTCCCCAGTCCCTAGATATGTCTATGAAACTCCTACTCTGCTCATTCATTCAGTATACATTTAGTGAGCAGCTACATGTTCTAGGCACAGAGGAAGGCAGGTGGTCCCTGTATTCACAGAGTTTACAGTATGGTACTGCAAATGTGAAAGTACTGACAAATGTGAAACAGTTACAAAAGGGGAAAGGGTAAAACTAGATCCTAAAATTAAAAGAGCTCACTGGGTTAAAAGGGTTAGGGCAATTCTCTCAGACAAAGAGCTGTTTGTTTAATCTAAGTACCAAAGTATAAAAAGGAGTTAACACGTAAAAAGTGAAAGTAAAATGTTCTCAGAGAAATAGCATGCCAAGGACCTGAGGAGAAAAATGGTATATGTAGGCTTCAAAGAAGTGGAAGAAGACCAGTTTGGCTATAGCAAGAGAATGCAGGCAGAGTAGCCCGTGCGTGAGCTAGGATTAAAGGGAATAAAAGATGTGAATGGCGTTATATCCCAGGTCAAAGTATTTATCACACCTGCTATGTGCCAGGTAACTGAGCATTTAAGGATGTTTAAGGCATGTTTTCTTGTCATCCACGAACTTACATTCTTCTATGAAGGATGATAGGTAAACCTGTAGTGGGGTAAGAGTCAAACTAGATACATGTACAAGTAGTTCAGACAAAGGATTATTAACTTTTTCTGGCTGATTGAGAAAATGTTTCTAGAGGAAATAATGCCTGAGCAGAAATTTTAAAAATGAATATGAATTCCCTAAGACAGCAATGGCTTATTAGGCAAAGAACCAGCACGTGCAAAATTGCACCGACATGAAAAAAATAATCATAGCTTTTCCATGAAGTCATCTCTGGTAGCCTAGAAAACAAAGCATTTTCACGCTCCTCAAAATTTAGGGCCCCTGCACCATAAGATTTAGTCTACAGGATAATAAAAGTACTTGAAGAAAGAGGCTTCATCCTCCTTCCCCCAAACAAATCACCAATGGAATCTTATTATAGTACCTTGCTCAATATCAGTAGGCATAAATAAATTAATCACTGTGTTGAATTAAAATTAACTAAGTATTTGGAGATTTACTCAAAACTGTAACTTAATGAATTTTCCCAATCCTAAGTAAAAAGGAACTTACAGTCTCAAAAAAAAAAAAAAAATTAACTAAGTAATCTCTTATGTGTAGAAGGAGTAAGAGAGCAAATATACTTTAATATACTTTTCAGGAGCTGGGAAGGAGATTACCAAAGAAGAACTGGCTAGATAGTGAAATCCCTGTGACTCCAAAAATTCAAATGGTAGGGGAAAGGCTCCAAATCCAGGTACCTGGGACTCCCTTGTATAACAAGGCAACAAAAATGGGTGAGAATGACACAGCACATAAAAAATGTATGATTGGCCGGGCACGGTGGCTCATGCCTGTAATCGTAGCACTCTGGGAGGCCAAGGCGGGTGGATCGCTCAAGGTCAGGAGTTCAAGACCAGCCTGAGCAACGGTGAGACCCCGTCTCTACTAAAAATAGAAAGAAATTAATTGGACAGCTAAAAATATATCGAAAAAATTAGCTGGGCATGGTGGCGCATGCCTGTAGTCCCAGCTACTCAGAAGGCTGAGGCAGGAGGATCGCTTGAGCCCAGGAGTTTGAGGCTGCTGTGAGCTAGGATGACGCCACGGTATTCACTCTAGCCCGGGCAACAAAGCGAGACTCTGTCTCAAAAAAAAAAAAAAAAAACTGTATAACTGAAAATTTTTATTATTTTTAAATAGATTAAATATATAATGTACCAACAAATACTGAGATAATCAAGGATTTGGCATAGTTGATATCATTTCAGGAAGAGAACAGAGAATTTCATAGCTCATCTCTTCTCCTCCTTTCCCTATCTAAGCCTCGAGTTTTAAGAAATCATTTAAACTAACTTCAAAATGCTCTTGCAGACATTACTAAACTCTGTCCATACCAATGAATTCCAATGACATTATTGTTTCCATGGTAACTAATGCACTTCAAATGGGGGAAAAACAGAGAGCAAGACAAAAAACCAGGGGGGGGGAGAGGGGGGATGGAATAAAGTGGTATAAACAAAGCAAAACATCTTTGTATTTATGGAATGAATACTTTCTAATCTCAAATGCTTTATCGTCACTTAGACTCTGAGTCTCAAAGGGCCAGGGGGATCTTGGAGGTCATCAAATCCACTTCCTACTCACAGCCAAGACCCCCTTTACAACGTAGCTGTATCACGGTTGCCCAGCTGTTCACAGAGCTCATTACTGGAAAGTTCTCACTCATTCACTTGCTAACATTACTGAACAAGAGATGATTGAGACATTCTGTTTTTTAAAATTTTATAGTTTAGAGGGAAAATAATTAAAATAAAAAGGTGAAAACAAGGGCTACAATAAAGACATAGGAAGATGTCCGAAAAGCCAGAGGAAGGAACCATTAATTTTGACTTGGAGGGATTACACAGTTTCAATGACTTTCATGCTCACTCGAAGTCCTGCAACCCATGACCACATCCTGGACCTTGCCATGACCCAGAACTGCTCCAACTCTGCAAACTTAAATTCTAACATGAACTTTCTGATCCCAAACAGCCCTTTCACTCCCTAACTAATCCCTGAAGTAATCCTATGAGCCTATGAGTTATTAGACTCCCAACTAGCAAAGTCAATGCAGGACCTGCCTCATAACCATAGTTACCTCAAATGACAGTATCAGCTGAAATGGTCTGTTAGTACAAAAAATGATAAATTAATGAGGGGATGGGGTTAAAAACAGGTCTGGCTCTTGCTCTCTTTAAAACTTCTTCCCCAAGCAATTCATAATGTTTATGGGTGAGCAAGACACATGCCTCCAACCTCAACTTACAGAACGAGAAGTTAAGCATTCACCTACATGCAGATAGAATGGCTATTATCCTTACCTTGAAGTGGTCTTAACAGACTACTGACCCTCTATTTCTGCCAAAAAGAGGATTATAGATTACTTGTTAACTCAGTGTCATAATTTCTGGTAGATAACCTTCTAACTTTTTGCTGATTTATATTTTAAAATACCATATAATAATAAGTAACCTTATTGAGTTACCTGAGTAGGCATTATTTATATCTAGTTTATCTTGTAGGGCATAATAGGAAGTCACATTGCTCAAATCAGGTGCTTTAGAGAGACAGTTTTCTGTCTGAGCAGGCATTTGCTTATCCTTGCTTTAAAAATTTCCAAGCTAAAATTCACATCATAGAACACTGGCCCTAAACTTTTTATCCCTACCAGTGAAAATACCCTCAGATCACCTGGAAGGTAAGCATACAGGCACCTTCCTTATCATGTTCCTCAATTTTCATAAGCTCTGGGATGGAGCATGTCAACCTAACTCAGAGCTCCATGGCTTGTCAATGCACAGAGCTCTGCACTAACTAACTGACAAGGGAGAAGAGGTACTTGTCAAGGAAGATCATCACCTCAGCCCCACTATTGTACTGTTTGATACATTTATGAAAGCTTCACTGAGTCCATTTGTGCTACTGTATTATTGGATCTTATCCTGTGTCACGGTCTCATTGAAGAATCTGATAAAACTTATAAATTCTTTCTATACCAAAACAAATACACTTGAGCATATAATTTGGGCAATTTGGGGGAGGGAGAGGTGTGGGGTAGAAAATCACGAGAACCCCTGAAGCTAATCCATGGGCTGAAGTTCAAAAAGCTCTGTTGTATAAATTCTAAAATCTATCTGTGAATTAAGCAAGGCCGCTAGAGTAGTAGTCCCCAACATTTTTGGCACCGGGGACCAGTTTCATGGAAGACAATTTTTCCATGGATGGGAGGGGGTGGTGGGGGGGGTGGTATGGGGAGCAGCTGTAAATACAGATGAAGCTTTGCTCACTTGCCTGCTGTGAGCTTTGCTCACCTCCTGCTGTGCAGCCTGGTTCCTAACAGGTCCAGGACAGGAATCTGGGGGGGGGGGGCGCGGGTTGGGGACCACACAGATGGAAGCATCTTATTTTGGCCTTACACTGAAATGTTTGTTCTAAATTGTCCTCTGCCACAATTCCACCTGCTTTTGTTGAGGCATACTAGAAGGAAGAACCCTCTATTTCCTGTAAAGGTGGTTGAGAGTGTTCATTTATATATACAGTTTCTTCTTTCCAAGATATGCCTCTCTAGTCTCAGCTCCATTTCTCTTGAGCATCCAGCTTTTTTTAACCTTGTGGAAATGGACAGTTTTATAAAGGTACTATGTTTCTTTTCCCTTGGCTGTTAGAAAATTTGTGGTACACCTCTAGCATGTGTTAAAGTTCCTTAATGGCATGCAATTTGTTTACTAGCTTCACTTCTGACGCCATCTGATTTTAATTCTTTTGTGTCTATTTTTACTATGTTTTTAATTTGTTTTATTTCACCATATTGTACAGATTATCCTGAAATACCTTCTAGAAGAAGGTGGGCTATAAATGAGTTGAATTGTAGGAAGCAGAAGGAAAATAGTAATCTTTTTTTCACCTGTTTCCCTACATGTGATCTATTCAAATCTATCTATCTATCTAACTACCTCTTGTAATTTTTTTGTCAGTGATAATTGTAAGCATAAGAGAAGTAGTACTTCTTCAGAAAACTCATATCCGAAGGATGTTTTAGAATTCTTCTTGGTTAACATAATGGGCAGACATATTTGCACCTATAAGTGTGTTTTTAAAGAAATCATAAACATGAACTAGGACTTTTTTAAAGATTTCTGCACAAGACTAAATTAAAATTTGAATTGTACTTTTCAATGACTTGCTTCTTCAGTTAGAAGAATTTCATATTTTTCAACAGTAAAGCTGTAAATACTTACAGGTACATGGACTTTTCTAAACATCTCAGCACCCTTGTGTGCATCCATCAGTGCAATATCCTGGGGCGTGGAGACAATCACAGCACCTATCAAAAGATAAACAAAATGATGCTATCTTTTAATTCTTTATGGAGAGATTACTTCCAACATTATGTTGCTTACATGCTCAAATAGTCTACTACATGAACTATTTAGGTAATTCATATAAATGTTACATAAATGAATGGGAAAGACGAGGAAATGTCTACTGTGCTTTTGCCTACCTTGGAATCATCACTTCTAAAGTCACAACTGACTGATCAGTGATTCAGGATCATAATGATATCACTGGAACCTTCTTCCCATTTAGACAATTTGCTAGTTAAAGAGAGGCACAAGGGTAGGCCTTAATTTTAAGAAGTTAATAGTTAGTCTACTTGGGAGACTAAAAAATCAAAGATTACAACACAATGTGCTAAGCACTGTAACAGAGGTATGGATAGGAGAAATAGGAAGGAAAGCTAACCAATTCCATATGGGAGAGAAGATGGTGAAGTATGATAGATGGGGTGTGAAAGCAAGAGATAAGGCGAGCAAAGGGGAAAAGTTTCCAGAAAGGCGATACCTAAGCCAAGTCCTAAAAGTTTATATTCTAAAAGACTCACACTGTGGAAAACAGTTTGGTGGGAGTAAAACTGAAATTCAGATGGAAAATGGTGGTGGCTTGAACTAGGGCAGTACTGAAGTGGATGGAGATGGAGACTTTTCTAGATGTTCACTATTATCCTACAGAAACCAGATGGTACTAGGGTATAGTGTTCTGAGAGAAAGTGCAGTACAATTTCCTTTAAGTGGAAACAACAAAGTCCTGGTTAAGATTGGCAGAGTCTATGAATTTCTGAAATTTTGTGTTTTCCTCTAGATGATAACCTCAAAAGTAATTAACATAAACATATTATAGATCATACGGCTATCACCTTATAACTAAATACACAATGCTGTAATATTGCAGAGCCTCAAATTAAATGGCAGTCTCTGTTACGGCTAATGAAAACAAAGCCAGGATTAACAATAAATAACTAATTACCCCAAGTGAAGGTCAAATGATACTATAGAGTATTGTCCAAAGGGATATTTTGAAAAAGTCAAAATAGAGAAAAGTGGTGGGAAAACCAAAGTTATTGCAAAGTACATGGCAGTACAGGTATGCCAAACTCAAAAGAACTTGTGCGATAGCAGTTAGCTATAAATTCATCTTGCAATCAGCATTTTCATTTGAGCAAAAACTTCACCCTTCACATTAATGTAATTTGAATTTTATTGATTTTATATGTTTGTCTTGTATTTATTTGTTTAGTTTTTAATTATTTAACATGAGCTATAAGCTTCAGGAATTTGTGTTCACCTAGCTAAGTACCTTACAATAAAAAAAAGTCAATATGGGGCATGGGGGCAGGAGATTATTTTTCTTTTGTAAGTGTCTTTTCATTACTCAAGTTTGAGATATACTAGCTTTAGAATACAAAGAGATTAGGATTCATTCCATAAGTGATTAACTATGTGACTAGATAGCGACTAAACCATAGTTTCTTCATTTACAAAATGGCATAGAAATACCTAGGTCACAGGGCTGAAATAATTAAATAAACTACTGTACACAGATGTTTGATATGATGCCTGACATTCAATAAATGATAGCTGTTGTTAATAAGTTCATTATTATATTTATTATTATTATTAATAAAATGCCTTAGAAGTTGCTGGGAAGGTCATTTTCCTATATGCTATCAGGCAGCTCATCCTGCTTTTCAAGTTGTTCCATGGATTGCTACATCCTTCTATTTTGATTTACTCTGCCCAAGAAACCAAAAACTAGTTCTCTTTCCCCTCTTTTAAAGACTTATGGAAATCACACCTCCGCAAAAATTATACTCTACACATCCAATATATTTCCATAATTTGCCACCTTCCGGATTTTGTTATCAATCTGTTTCATTGTTTTTTCATTTTCAGTCATTTGGAAGGGATCTAATTCCAGCTCTGGCTCCATCCAGCTGTGTGACTAACCTTGGGCAAATAACTCAGAATCACTCTGGGTCTCAGTTTCCTCAGCTGTAAAACTAGTGCAATGTACTAGACAGTCTCTAAGGACTCGTCTATCTCTATGACTATATGATTTAGCATTCCCTCTTAATTATAAATAGCTTCCAAAACCACTTCTGCTCAACCTGACTGCTCCAGTAATCTTATTTAAGCGAATGTGAAATGCTACCTCCTTCAAAAAGTATTGTCCCTCAATCTCAGAGCCACTCTCTTCGTATATTATTATAAGCAGAGAACCTTGTTGGCTATTTCCTCTAAATCTCCTTAACTACATATATACTAGTATATAGGGGGTTGTCTATTACATTGACTTTGAAAAGTATTCTTAGCTTTCATATGATATAAATGTTATTGGTTTAAATACTTTTTATGTACTATTATTATCACCATTACACAATATAGCTTCAAGGGTGGTTATGATTTTTTTTCATCTTTTTATCAAACAAAATTAATGACACAACACCTTGTACCAAATAGGCACTTAACAAAAGATCAATAATTTAAACAATTTTCCTATATTTTCAGAATCATCTATTCTAGATTACTGCAGCATGAACTTTTAGTTGGCAACTCCTTTAACTAGGAGGTAAGAATTCTGGATTCTGGTTTTGTTGACTGTTAAATATAAAATACAACCTTGAATAATTCACTAAATATCAATCTACCTCAATTAACTCCTCAATAAAATGAACCTATTAATATTTCCATTGGCCCTATTTAACTTGAAAAGCTGTCAGATGTTTTTTTAAAAAGGTAGAAGTTTTATAAAAATGTTCAGGGACATTATTTTGATTGCTATAAAATCAATCCTAGAGAGAAGGATTAAAGTGATTTCGTTTTCTCTGTATTTAACACTAATGCAGTATCACAAATAAGCACTCATGTCATCCAAGCTTCTTTGTAGAGTAGTCTAAATAAGCACCAAACAAATTAATAACAACTTCTGACAAGGACAAGGATCATCTTCCATGTCCCATCAAATGCTCACAGAACATGTAAACATTCCATTGGAACTACCAGCCACATTTATAGAAGATATTTTGGTTAACATTATTATTATTTTGCTGAAATATATGTTCTTAATTAATGACTAAGTCCTTAATCACAATGCAATCAGCCTTTAAGATACTGTGCTGAAAAAAATTTTCAAGCCCTTCTTGAAGAATGTGAAAACATAAATAGTTCACATATAAATCACTACCTCTCAAAATTTAGTTTATTATATAATAAACCATTTCAGATAGCCCTAAGATGACCTTTAGAATTTATGATAAGGAAATAAAGCACAACAAACAAAACCTCTAGTACAATTAAATTTAATCCTTATACAATCAATGCATCATAGTCCAGATTTTTAAATTTTAAAGGAACTATGTCAACTTTTTCTTGTTAATGTATCTCTTAGCTTAAGATATGGTCCCCAAAACCTGATACTACATTTTATCTTTAAGGTTCCTGGGTTTCTATCCAGTAATTTTCATTTTTCTCATGGCTCACAAAACATAAACCAGTATGAACTAGCCTAGAATTTTCTACCTTTATACCATCACTAATGATGTCACTTCAGTTTTGTGAGTTTGTTAGAAAACTTGTGCTCCCTCTACTGACCATAAGGAAATGTCAGCAAAGAGAAAGTTTAGTTTGCAATAAATAGGGGGTAAAATGCTTATCTCAAGAATTCCATCAAGAATTCTCTATTTTCTAGGGTAAATGTCTAAGTCCAAACAATTAAATAATATTGTTTAAATGCTATTTCATAACTTGTAATCTTTTTAAAAGGTTTTTTATTAGCTGAGATTTACCATAAAAGGTTGTCTGGCAGATTCTGGCAAATATATAAATATCTTACAAAAAAAACTATTTAGAACATTGTCTTAATTGTTAATTCTCTTGAGTATTAAGAGGGAAATCTATTTACAACTGCATATCTGGATTTGGGTCAGAGTTCAGAGTAGTTAAACATTTAAAACTAATTATTCCAGATGTTAGACTGATCATAATTACACCAGTGTGAAACTATTCAACCATACATTCTAGTCTTGAGGGCATAGATTGTATCTAATTCCCATGCTTGATTGAGAACTTCAACATTAGAACCTAATAAACATGTACAAGAAAACATGCTCAGAATTATACTTGGAGAAATAATTCTATACCCTTATAATTCTTGAGCATATCAATGTAAAGACAACTAAGACTTAAAGAAGCATATTAACTGCTCTTCTTAATGTTCACAGTGTTCTTAATATTTAGTGATGCTGATTCTCCTTGATTTATTTAGAGATATACTTGTATTAATAGCAAAAGAAAATAATTATTCAGCTTCTGATGGTGTAATATAAACAATGCCAAATATATTTACAATTTTTTGTTAACTGTAAAGTAGATTGGTTTTGGTATTTTTTTGGCTCTCCCCTGTCATCCTGAACTTCCTGAATTATAATTTGCTGTAAGATTGAGGATGCCTACCAATATTAGTATCAGCTTAAGTAAAACACAATTTAAAAGGCAAATTCACCTCAAATGTATTCACAGACTGTGTTTCAACAAGAAATATAAATAACTCTTGGATGAGACACTGTTTTGGACTCCATGTTCCCTTTCAAAAGAGAATTTACTACAGTCATGAAGGGGATATACTTCATGAATTTAAAGATCAATCATCATCCCTTTCCTATAGCAAGAACAAATTTTGCTATAGGAAATTATGTCAATTGCTACCAAAAAGAATTACCAAACATAATAATTAGTGGAAACCATGCTATTTCAAAGTTTCTGGTAAGAGAGAGCATGTGCACTTTGGAACTTTAACTAAAAATTCAAATTCATCAAAGGAATCTGGATATATATATGCTATTTAGGGACAAAGATTGGCTCTTCAACATAATGGACTCAACAGGTAAATGGGTTTTATCTAGTAGCTTTATCTTAATGGTGCTTACAAAGTTACCAGGACTATCCAAACTGCATTCACCAAGGAACAACTAGGGATAAGCAAGATTTC